CTCCTAAAAGCCCTTATAAGTTGCAGAAGAGACGGGGCAAGGAGAAGTGAAGGCTGAAGGACTTTGATGTGTGCCTTTAAAAAAATGTTGAATTGAGATGCTTGGGGGTATTTCTTAATAACAGTTGAATTTAAGAATTTTAAAAGACAATGATATATCTGACTCAGTTTGTAAAGGGATTAGTGGAATTAAGACTTGATGTTTGTGTAAGCTGATTAGAAGATCTCCTCTCTTGGGTTTTTAGGTATTAGTGGGTATCTTTACTTTGTCCCTAAATGTAGTCCCTTATCCTATTTCTGTTGTAGTTTGTAGTGTTTATAAAAATGTAATTAAAAAATCCCTTTCGGGGGGCTCAACAAAAAAAAATAAAATGTAGAAAGCTGACAGCAGCGGGGAAGGAGGGCGGGTGGTGTGAATGCACAGATGACCACTCGAAGATCATCAGTTACAGGTAAGCAACCTGTTTATCTTCGACGTGGTCTCTGTGCTTCACACCCATGGGAGATTAGCGAGCAGTGGCCTACCCGGAGGAGGGTGCTGGCAGGTTCTTACTGCATCGCCGAAGATAGAATGTGACGTCCCATGTTGGTATTAGAGTTCTTTTTTCCCCTCCCAAATGGGGAATTTTTTATTGCACTACAAACTATAACAGAAATAAGGAAGGGGACTACATTTAAGGGGATAAAGAAAAGATACCCACTACTGACTAAAAACCCAAGAGAGGAGATAGTCTAATCAGCTTAAATACACATCTAGTGTATTTATCATATCATATTAATCTCATTACAAACTGAGTCACATAGTCTGTTAACTTTTCCCACATCTTAAATTTAACTGATATTAGGAAATACCCCAAAGCATCTCAATTCAAAAAATTTTCAAAGGCACAATTCAGAGTCATTCAGCCTTCACTTTTTCTTGTCCAGTCTCTTCTGCAACCTATAAGGACTTTTAGGAGCTGCTGCCCCTTTCTCTGACAGAGAGTCCTCTCTGGAAGAACCCGAGTCCACTGGACTTGCTGTCCCCTTCTTTTTCTTCCTCCTCTGGCCCTCCCATGGGTGGAAACGACTGGGGTTTGAATGACCTGAGGGTTGGGAGGACGATTGTGATCCAAGTTATGCTGGGCAGGATTGTCTGCAGGAGGACGAGAGAGAGATGCTGAAGGTCTCGACCTGTGGGGCGATCTCGATCTATGAGCAGAGTGGGATGAATATCGATCCCAGACGGAATAGCTCGCCGGAGTCAGCCATGGCAAGGATGGTGGCTGAGCCCCATACAGATACCTCATCTGTCGTTGATCCCAAGACAGAGGTGGTGGTGGGGGTAAGAAGACTCACGGGGATCGACTTCTGGACCGTGGATGCCTCGGAGACAAAGCAGCAGCATGTCTTTGAGTGGAGCCCGTATAAATCTCGGTTGTCGATATCGACAGATTGACCGTACAGACATGGAGGGTGACGCTGCGTGTCGCATGAAGCATATCAGTGCCGACGTAGATCAATGTCGGGAGCTTCCGATACTGTTGACGACGGGGAAGGAGACGGAGAAGGCTCTGCATCCATTTGATGACTTAGGAGCTCTACTGTTTCGATGTCGGAGTAAGGACGCTCCATTTGGTGGACAGGGGAGTCCAAGACATGGATGGTTGGTTTCGGTGGAGGGACTTGGGCCTCCGGTATCGATACAGTCGTTGGAGCGGGAGGCACTTTAGGGGCATCACCCAGTGCAGCCACCGCTACTTTCCTCTTCTTTGCCGCCTTAAGGGGTTTGGAAGAGCCCTTCTTTGTGGGTTTTGTTCCTTACTTGGCCTGGATTCTTTTTTCACCGGCATGGAAGCAGAGGATTGTGCCTTCGATGCCAGAGGCTTCGGTGTCAGTTGGCCGATATCGGAGGCAGGCCTCAATGCCGAAGCTGTTGAGGTAGATGGTTTCTCGGCATCCATCGCTGAGGAAGGATGTAGAGCCGATTCTAGCAGGGCCACTTTAAGGCGCGCAGCTCGGTTTTTCCGGGTCTGGTTTGAAAAGCGAGCATAGTGGCGACAAGATTCAGGTCGATGAGACTCTCCGAGACAAAGTATGCAAAGGGTATCACGGTAAGGAGGAGCAAGTTTACTACCGCAACCCTTCCACCTATTAAAAAAGCCCCACTTCTTCTCCATAAAACCCAAAATGAAGAAGAAAGAAGGGGTGGGGGGGTAGCCCAAAGGCCCGACTGAGGTAAAGCGGCAACCTCCCCCTCAGCAGAAAATAAAAGGGTTTTTTTTTTAGTTTTTTTGAAAGAACAACGAAGAAAAAGAATAAACTGAAGAAAAATCCAAAGAGCCGTGAGGCAAAAAGCCAAAACACGCGAACCGATCAGACTGATGAAGAAAGAGGTCTTTCCAATGCGGCGGTAAAAAAGGAACTGGCGGGATGTCCGCGTCCAATCCTCTGGGCATGCGCAGTGGGGTTCCTGTGCATGCCCGAGGGACTGGGCGCGAAAATCTGTTAAAGAGCTTGCTACAATGCCCATCGATCCAGCGCGTGCACACTAGATCCCATGGGTGTGAAGCACAGAGACCACGTTGAAGATCTATCGTTACCAGCTTCAAAAGCTGCTTCTGTAATAGAGGATGCAGTTCATTACAACTTACTTTTCATGTCAGAGAAAATAAAGCTGAAATCCAAATCTTAACTTTCAGAGGATGTTAGCTATTTACAGCCTTTTCACTTCCAATTACTGCAAAACACAGACAAGCAAAAATGCGCTTCTGGTGTAAGGGCATGCCTGAGCCATCTCTTACAAGTTATTCAATATAATATCAATATGTCTGGTTCCACTATCAAAGTGTTTGTATTTTTGTACCTGGTGGGACTCCAAGGTATTGTGGGAATCATGCTGACATCTGGAAAGAGAATACTGTTGTCCTTGATCCTGTCCAAAGCGTAATGCATTTCACAGAGTGGTAAGCGGTTTAACTGAAATTGAAGTTCGACCTACAGTGCATACAAAATAAATAAATTAATGAAAAGCTATGTCAGAAAACCAGCAATTGGAAGAAGCTATTTCAATTATATTTGTCAACTTATTAAAATACCCGGAGAGGTCATGCAAATAAAATCAAGATCTTTACTAGCCATCTTAATCAAAAGCCCAAAGGAAATTTTTTGTAACAGCAGCAACATTTGTGTTCATAAGCAACTGCATATATACCTGTACATTTATAACTCAGTGACATCTTTTAGTGAACAGAATCCAGCCTTCTCACAGAACTCTTCTCAAAAACAAAATCTTGTATTAAGACCATCCTAAATAACACAACAATGTGTGCAAGATTTCAAATAATCTAGATTACTTTATCAGGTTCATAGGTCATGATCTCAAAGCCTTTTTGTCAATTTAATATGTAAAATTGCATAGCTGACTTCAAAGGGATCAGGGTGAGGCTTGTATCAGGTTCTGTCCTTCCCATACGGAGAACAGCAAGCAAAACATTTGAATGCACCTGTTTGAAAATATAATAACACAATAGTTGATCAAATGTCACTCTAGTGACAAATGGAACACAAGGGTCCTTTTAAAAAGCAAAAAATGAGCAAAGGGTAAATGTAGTATGCCTTGTATTGGGATAGAATGGTTTAAATAACTTAATTTACTTGATGTGCTAAGGGCCAAACTAGCTGGTACATTCTTTAATGTCTGTCTGGGTTTCAACAACCCATCTCACCTTCCCCTGCAGCCCCACAGCAATTGCAGGGAACTAACTGCTCAAGTGACGCTTCAGCATTCTTCCCCCTCCTCCAAACTGGAGAGCCAGTTTGGTGTAGTGGTTAGGAGTGTGGACTATAATCTGGGAGAACCAGGTTTGAGTCCCCACTCCTCCACATGCAGCTGCTGGCATGACCTTGGGTCAGTCACAAGTTCCCTCAGAGCTGTTCTCGAAAGAGCAGTTCTTGAAAGAGCTCTCTCAGCCTCATCTACCTCACAGGGTGTCTGTTGTGGGGAGGGAAAGGGAAAGGAGATTGTAAACCACTCTGAGACTCCAAGTGAAGGGCAGGGGGTATAAATCTAATCTCTTCTTCTCTTCTTCTTCCCCATTTTCTCCAGCCAAAACAGCTCCAGTGCACATGTAGTAACACTACAGGGCAGATGATGCCCCTCACCTAGAGCTGTTTCAGCTTGGGGAAATGGTGCGGGGGAGAGGGATGAATCCCTGCCTCCCCCCCTCCCCACATCAAGCATGATTAACATGTTTATCAGAATCCCAAACCGGAAAACAATCAAATGAGTTCCACATCTGTACTGGGGAAGGAAAAAAATAATTTTTAAGCTGGAAAAATAAGGGGGGGGGGGATTCAAGGGAAAATGCATTATGACAATTGTCTATGAATGCTGGATTTGTCCATAGACTTAATTTTACTTGTTTGACAAGAAATGAAAATGTTTACAAATTTACAAAACCTTACAGTTCTCTTTGTTCACCTGTTTCTTTCTTCCTATTGCACATACGGTATCATTGTTTATTGCAAAACATTTGTTGCTCTATTTCAACTAAACTGTAAAAAATGTTCTTATACAGTATTTTCTGTATTATTGCATGTTCTTTCAAATAAAAAATACAAATAGAAAAAAAAGGAACTAGCTATAACAGATTCTGTATTATAAGAAACAATGCTAGTGATGAACTAATTACACTTGCTCTAGAACAGCTGCTTCCAAAATCTTGGCTCTTGAACCAACCTCATTTTGGTCTTGATCATGTACCATATCTAGAACTCCTATTTTGTTCTTTCTTGCATGCCATCTAGGGTTGACAAATTCAGATCGTCCGGGAGCGGGGAGGCTCCCAAACGATCCCGGGCACGTGCGCATCACCCTCAAATCGCGTGGCCCCGCCCCCAGCGTGCGACGTCACTTCTGGGTGACGCGCATGCGGGGGTGGGGTTCCCCTGGGCCCCGATTCCGGCGCACCGGTAATCGGAGGTCCGAAGCGGGGAAATCCCCGCCCCCCGGCTGCATTTGGCAGCCCTAACGCCATCTCATGTGCATTCTGCTGACCTGGGTTGCTTTCATGGACCTGTGCTCAGGAAGCTCAGGAATATATTCACACATACCAACATTGGTTACTTGTGGGCCAACGTTTGTGAATTTTTCCTGCCTTGTCACCAGGAGGCAATTCATATTTACAAGATTGGTGCCTTTTTACCAGCCTTAATTACAGTGACGGGGGGGGCGCTCAATGGACTGCTGCAGAAGAAGGGAGCCAGAAAAATTCCATTCCATAGACAAAGCACCTTCAGTTAATGGAAAGCAAACTTCAGAGCCACCCATCCAGGAGAATACCATGACTGATGGTACTGATATTTTAATATGGCCTTCCACAGCAGAGTAACTGAAGGTACTACATTTTTCTGGGGAGAAAGCCCACCGCTGCTGGGATAGAAAAAAAACTTTAAAAAAAATTAATAAGCTCAAGACTTAAATAACGGGAGGCTTGCTTATTTATTTAATTAATTCATTTGTACCCAGTCTTTCTTCTCAATGAGGACCCAAAGTGGCTTACATCAGTGGTTAAGTGCGCGGACTCTAATCTGGGAGAACCGGGTTCGATTCCCCACTCCTCCATTTGCACCTGGCTGGATGACCTTGGGCAAGCCATAGTTCTGCGATTCTTGAAAAAAGCAGTTTCTGTCAAGAGCTCTCTCAGCCCCACCTACCTCACAGGGTGTCTGTGGTGGGGAGGGGAAGGAGTTTGTAAGCTGCTCTGAGACACCTTTGGGTAGTGAAGGGCGGAGTAAATCCAATCTCTTCTTCTTCCATTTTACCCTCATAACAACTCTGTGAGGTAGGTTAGAATGAGAGAATGTGACAGACCCAAGGTTCAGTGAGCTTCCATGGCACAAGTGGGGAACTGAACCTGGGTCTCCCAAATACTGGTTTGACACTCTTACCACTACACCAGTTCAAAATAAATGAACACATATTTGCTATGGGTTCATAATTGCTAAAATAATTGAGATGCAGGACTGGCTTCTTTAAGATGACCTCAAGGGGTGTATGCTTGGTATAAATGGAGCCAAAAAAATACCCAATAGATACCTGATAAATACCTCATGGGAGCCTTAAAATGCTGGCCCTAAATACTCTGGGTTACTCCCAAATATTTCCAGAATTTTTGGACCCATTTACCAGTATCCCGGAAAATGCTGGCTAACACCTAGACACTCAAACATATCCAGAACATACCAATAAGTACCAGTTCGAAAGCAAGAAATTGCAAGTAGATAAATAGGTACCACTTCAGTGGGAAGGTAACAGTGTTCCGTGCGCCTTGGTGTTTAGTCATGCCAGCCACATGACCACGGAAACGTCTTCGGACAGCGCTGGCTCTTCGGCTTTGAAACGGAGATGAGCACCGCAACCCTAGAGTCGGACTCGACTGGCTTTTGAGCAAGGGAAACCTTTACCTTTTACTATGAATAAGATATTATATATATATGTGTGGGGGGGGACTGGAAATACCCCTAGTAGCCATGCTATACTTTCTATCCTTGGCACAGGAGCTCTGACAGTACAGAAAGTGCCTTCCACATATGCCTTTACTGCTCCTAATATACTATGCAAATGCACTCAGTGGCACTAATCTTAAAGATGTGTCTGGTAGTCTAGTATCCATTTCTAGAATACTGCTTTGTAACAGCAGGTGAATCACAGTAACTGACACTACATGGTGCTGCCCCAATGCACAAAATAAAATTGTATTATATGATGTAACCAGTGTGGAGTTAGTGACAGTGCAACAGAACTCCTGTATAACATTAGAATATTTACTGTTCAGTTCTTCTGTTTAAAATAAGTATCAGTGTTATATATGCTGTGATGATTAAGATGAACAAGAGTTACTGATATACCTAAGATAATGAGGACTATTAAAAAAATTAAGAGCCACTGTAGTAAGAAATTTCCAGTCAAATATACCTGCATTTCACAATCTGATTGAAGATTAAGTTCTTCGCAGCATTCCCTGGATATTCTCAAAAAGATATACTCCTTTGTTTTTTCCTCTATTGCTGCTTCATACACCTTCTCTTTGGTTCCTTGGGTCAGTACTGATTTCTCTTTAGTGACTGGCAATAAATAAACAGCATTGACTTTGGTCATCACCAGTCGTCCTGCCAAAGTATCTTCAGAAAGCGTTTCAGTGAGTTTAAAGCGTCCAAAAAGTTGTCCATTTTGGGCATACTTTGCACCTCCAGAAACACCGGTGAGCATGAAGCTTGCTACAATCTGCAATTGCACTTTAATATTGAACCTAAATCAGAAAGCATACAGTTAGAGCTGAAAAAGGTGGTAAAAACAATAAAACAACTAAAAATCAAAGAGACACCATTACAAAAACATGAGGCATTAGCAACCCTATAAATTAATCCAATGTATCTCTGGCCATTAATATGGCTTACTGTTCATACCTCTTACAAAAATACAAAGTACAAAAAAACTCTACAGCTGTGGCATACACGACTATGGAATCACTATGTTTTAGCTAGACTTACTTTTAATTTGAATCAGACGACATTAACTGGTGCCCTCTTCAAGGTTAAGAAAATTTGGTCACCAATTTTAACTTATTTTTCTAATCAGAAGGAAATTCCAAAGGAACTATATCATTGTTATGTATAACACATGTTGATATATATATTTTCAGTTAAATAGTATACTTTCAAATTATATTTACTATTCTTATGTCCTTAATCTTAGTAAGATCTATATGAACCTTTTAATGGTTGATGAAATATTTTATATTTCTTTCTCTTCCATTTTGTATTTTTCTGTTAAAATTGAATAAAATTATTTAAAAAGTTATTAGGAATTAATTACAAATCAACATTTCATCCAATATTCCCTTGCCAATAAAACCTTATTCCACAGTTAAACTGCTAACCTTTAAAGTGCCAAGGGATTCACTGTTGTTTTTATAAAACTAACTAGACTTTTATTCCACTCGAATTAAATAATTCCATTCTGTGTTCTATTTTTTAATTGTTTTTGTACTTTAGCTTGGTTTTGTTTTAATGGTGTGTTTTTGTTTGGTTTTAATCATTTTTAAATATATTTTTCATCTGTATTTTTAATCTGTTAGCTGCCTTCGTGTCCCTGAGATGAGGGCAGAAATTCAGGGTATAAATACTGGAAATAAATAAATATTTGGCAACAAGTTCAAGGATAGCAAGTTCTGGATATATATTAGGCAAACTCTATATTTGTTCCTTTACTAAGGAAACAAGCTGAATGTTAAACACCAAATGAAGAGTTCAATGATAACTGGAAGGTGACTATTTGCATTTTATCAGAACACCAGAACAAACACTAATAGACAAATAATTTGTCATTTGTACTGATCACTTGTAATTCATTTCAGAATAAATGAAGTAGGTATAAATATATAAAACTGCACTATTAAATATACATACAGCAGGTTCATTTACAAAAATTATTAGCATTTCAATATATAACATAAAACACAAAGTATAACACAACAGATATAACATTTTGTACTCCCAACTACAGAAAGGAAATCAGGTACTATTGTAATAACTCATAAAATGCATAAGGAAACACCTTCTCACATACCTTCTTATTCCAAAACATCATAAACAATGCCCAACACTCAATAAATTTATCTGAACATTGAAAATTATTTCTCCGGGCTCTTTGAATAGTATGTTAATTAAATTAATAAGGCACTATTCCACACATGGGGAACTGTTTAACCTCTGAAGGAGGTTCTTACTTTTTTCATTTTGTCGCTATTGCCAAATTAAAAGCAGTAAATAGGCTCAAAAACAATTCTACATCTCAAAGGGTTTACATATCACAACAGAATGACTTTTGGATCAGGGGAATATTACAATCCAACTTTTTGTTAACAAACTTAACTAACAATTCAACTTTTGTTAACAAACTTAACTGATTTCCAAATCATATTTCCAAAATATGTAAAATAAATCTAACATAAATGAGCCATATTGTCAAAACTGATCCTGCATATTACCAAATATAGCCACAAGTTTGTGCAGAGTGAAACACTACTGAAACGATCTTTTAAAGAAATTGCAAATCTATCAATATTGGTCTGTAAATCTCCATTTCATTTTCTAGTATAATCTGAAGAAGCACTTTCTAGATTTAGTAACAAGGAATAGATTTTAGTAACTGAACTACCAAGTAGCTGATCAATGCTAATTATAAGTTTGAAAGATGTTTTTTTCACTTAAACCACTATAATTCCTCAATAGCATATTTACCAAATCTGTGACCTTAAAAACCCTGAAATAATAGTGGGCTATCCCCCTGTATAAAAACCACTTCTTTGTAACTCAACGCCTGATGAGCCTTTACCAGATTTTCCATTACATCCAAATTATTCTTCTTGAAAACCTTAAATTCATCTCAATTCTGAATGTTCTATGACTCCTCACTAAAGAATACAGAGCCTAAGGAGGTAAAGATAAGGACTTAAAGAAGATTTTACTTTATACTATTTGCAGTATAGTGCTTTTAGAACTGGATTACTAAATTTGAATCTTTTCTGAAACCAGATTTAATTGAAAATTCCTTCATATATTCTAATAGCAAAGTCAGCCAAAACTGAAGGTGACTGGAGCTGTGAATGGGCAAGACAAACCTTTGTACAAATCTGAAAAGTGCCCCAGGTTTGCAGAAAAATATGAAATCTAAAAAAAAAATACCTTGGGGGTAGGGTTAAAAAACTTGAAAAGAACCACCTGTAGCTTTAACAAATGATTCCCTCATTGGCTGTTGCTAGGCAACCATTATGGCTGCCAGCCTCCAGGTTGGGCCTGTTGTAAATTAATCTCCAGTAGGAAGATCAGTGTGATCTAATTGACAGCTATCTGACAGCTACCTATCAGCAGGTGGTGTGATAAGCCTGGTTCTAACCGGTTATGACTGGCACTGGACAGTGAGCAGTCACCATGACTCAGCTTACAGCTGATTGGTGGAACTTTATATATAAGTCTTGTATAGAAGCCATGTACATCTCTTCTGATGAAACCGAGTGTCTGGCGAAGCAGTTTGTCTGTATATCTTGTGAATAAAACCCTTGTACATAGTGTACCACTGGACTGTGCAGTGTGGTTACTATAAGGGGCAAGAGCAGCAAGAACTGCAGCAAAGAGCTGGTAAGGCTGGGAGGCTGGAAAGTCCATAAGGGTGCTGACTTGCCTAAGGGCTGGTCGTGGACCGCTACATTCACGCTCCCGCAACAGGGCCTGGAGACTTCCCGCTTTTACAACTGATCTCCAGTTGACAAGATCAGCTCCCCTGGAGAACATGGCTGCTTTGAAGGGTGGACTCTATGGCATTGTACTATGCTGAGCTCCCTCCCCTCCCCAAACCCTGCCTTCTCCTGGATCCACCCCCAAAGTCTCCAGGTATTTTTCAACCCAGAGTGACAACCCTAGCAACCACAGTCTTCCAGGCTGTGCTTCTTTGAGTAAAAAGACAGGAGGAGAAGATGGGGTCCTTTTCAGGTTCTTTTTCTCTTTCTTTTTCTTTTCTTTTCTTTTTTTTTTTTGGCCTTTGAGGGAAGACTCGTTGGGGCCAGGCCTGACTAGAGTTGCCAGCTCCAAGTTAGGAAATTCCTGGAGATTTTGTGGTAGAGTCTGACAAGGGCACGGTTTTATTCGGGGTATAAGCACACAAAAGAAATTGAGAGAAATTTGGCTCCAAGACCACCTGTGGCTCAATTCCCTGCCTACACAATGATCTCTGATGCCAATGATCAGAGGTAGCATGAGGACAGCGCATGTGCAGGCCTAGATACCTTTTGGGTTGGAGAGAAGATAGGAAGCTGTATTCATGCTCCCATTTTTCCACCCATTACATCTACATGCTAACGATCCACTTCACTGATACAAAGAATTATGTGATTGTATATACAAAAAAAATGCAGATTAGATGTGATCTTCAGATTCAGAATATATACTAAACATTGTCTCTAGTGTTTTTCAAGGTTTCTACCACCAATCTTAACAATACAAAGCCACCCAGTATATCTCCATGGCTGCCATAATATGACTAGCATGAATACCACAGTTTACCACTCTAGTTCCAAACCAAATCTCATACCTCTGAGTGAATGAAACATTCAATAAGCTACAAACACAGAATTCTGACATTTTCGAAATACTGACAGCATTAGGTCAGCAATTGTCTATACATTCATTACTCAAATGGGGAACCTTGGTAGTACCTACGTTAAATGTCTGTAACTTTGGAACATTAACAATTTGAGATATGCAGATGAAACCACATTACTGGAGGAAAACAGTGAAGACCTGAAATGGCTACTGAGGAGGGTTAAAGCAGAAAGTGCCAAAGCAGGATGACAGCTGAACATCAAGAAAACAAAAGTAATGACTTCTAAGGAATTACAGAACTTTAAAGTTGATGGTGAATAAATTGAAATGGTTAAATATTTTTTATTCCTTGGCTCAATCATCAACCAAAAGGGAGACTGTAACCAAGAAATCAGAAAGAGATTGAGACTGTAGAAGGTAAAGGTAAAGGTTCCCTTGCTCGAAAGCCAGTCGAGTCCGACTCTAAGGTTGCGGTGCTCATCTCTGTTTCAAAGCCAAAGAGCCAGCGCTGTCCGAAGACATTTCTGTGGTCATGTGGCTGGCATGACTAAACACCAAGGCGCACGGAATGCTGTTACCTTCCCACTGAAGTGGTACCTATTTATCTACTTGCAATTTCTTGCTTTCAAACTGCTAGGTTGGCAGAGCTGGAACTAGAGACGGGAGCTCACTCCGTCATGTGGCACACTCGGGTCTTGAACTGCTGAACTACTGACCTTCCACAGCCTGCAGTTCAGCGTCTTAACAACTTGAGCCACCGCAGCTCGGGGAAGGAACTAAAAAAAGATTCTTAACTGTAGATTCTTAAGTGTAGAAAAGATTCCTAAGTATTTGTCACTGGTGACCAAGATAATTCATGCCATAGTTTGCCCATTACTATGTATGGGTGTGAAAGTTGGACAATGAAGAAAGCCCCCCCCCCCAACCGGGAAACCCTGCACAGACCCCCCCCCCC